CGGCCACTGCTGTTCTCCTATATTTACGGCTAGCACGAAATATAGGAAAGATTATTCTTATTGACCTGTCAACTACTGAGAATGACTGACCTGGGCCTGCGGTTTAGGCAAAACATATCCGCGGTCTGATTGTGATGGCAGATGAACAGCGTTCCTTGCAGCCAAAGCCGATGCTCTCACATCCGCGAGACTGTAGGTGCTTCCTCGATGTTCTGTTTCCTGACGGAGGCGCTCCGCTGCAAGCTCGGCGAACATCATGAGGGATGAAGATGCATGTGTTACAAAGTCATCTGATCTAAAAAGGCTAACAATTCAAATTTTACACTCAAAACTAATTAAACTTTATAGACAAAACACACTTGAGTCGTGGCATTTTCTCAGAATGTGTTGCATGAAGATCAGCTTCGGAGCAACTCCTCTTTCCTAAGGGCAGAGATTGAGACATTGCAGTTGCAGCAGCCATCTAAAATCTTTTCTTTTCGATGCTATCATCTATATTTTGTTATTACAGTATTGGCTATAGTTGTACCACTTGCGAGAAGGTATATCGTTTTATTGATTCTTGTCATTTCATATTTTTGTAAATTTTTTTAAACAATGATCTACTCCAAGAAAACTCATTCAGAATGAATGAAGTGGAAAAATTGCTGGGCCTGGAATCGCTTTTTGACAATTTCACTGCAACTGAGATTGCTATTCGTGTACGGCACAGCGAGATGGCTCACAAAAGGTGAGATTTAGTCGAAAATTTGCGCGGACACTCCCTCTAACATCATAAAAATCAAAAATCAATCATCAATCAAGTCGATCACGACAGGGCTACCATTTGCCACAGACCCTTCACAGATGTAGATTGTTGCATTGGTCACACCTAATCTGAGATGGACACCTGCTTCAATATGCACAACCAGCACTTTATACTCAAATTTACTAAGGGGAAAGCCCAATGAAAATTTGCTTGTGCTCTTGAATGGCAAGTCTACTCATCAAGAAGGGGTTACAAAACGACGTGGTATGGTAAGCCCAACAGCAGAAATATCTTTTTATATAA